TGAGTTGTTTAGTGCCTCACCGTTGCTGAGGCTGGCTTTGAACTTGTGATTCTCCTGCCTTGGCCTCCTAARTTATTGGGATTACAGATATGAGCCACCGCACTGGGCTCAGGTTTAGTCTTAACTAATTTATTTTGAATGCTTTCCTAAATAAATCTGTGCCTCTAATGGATACATCCTTAAAGTCATTTATGCAATGTTTGTCAAGAACCTCACCCATCCTAATTTGAGGCCCCCCTCCAGTGACTCCTTGGACCTCTTAGGGTGACAGTGTAAGGGTGGGGCCACAGCACTTGATCCAGGTAGTTGCCACACAACACACCCAGAAGCAGCAGGGGGTACCCATTAGGGACTGAGTATTGCACCGGAAAGTTTGCAGCAGCAGTGACCATGATAGGGAACCTGTCAGTATCTGAGGGCTGCATAGGTGGCTTTGCAGGGAACTTCACAGCTGACCTGCTCAGGGAGATCTGCCCAGATGCTTCCTGGCTCCCCTGGGGAGGTCTAGCATCTGTTTCTCAGGGCCTCAGTGGGCCTACCTGGTGCTAAGCCACCCAGAAAGGTCTGTTCATCTACTTACCAGGCACAGGTGAATGGGCAAGGCTGCTTGCTGCTTAGGGTGCATGGGTGAGTCTGTCTGTTTTCTGGGGGTCTTCTTCAGGCCAAGTCACTCAAGGGGGTCCCAGGTGCTCCTCTGAGGATCTCTTGGGGTCTCAAGATGAGTGGGGGAATACACAATGTGGGCTGGCCTCTTTCTCCCACAGTATAGCAATGTGGTAGCCTAGCAGCACCCCTATTCCGTTCCATGACTTAACACTCAGAGTCACTCCAGGTGAACTGGGCTACATGAAATAATCATATAAGAGACAGAGATACCTTTTGCTTTGGGTCCTGTGATGGCTCATCTGACCTTAGGGGTCTTTGGAAAGAAAGAGAGAGAGAGCGGGCACATGCTGACACTTTTATTGAGGAGGAGCCATTCAAATGAGGAAGGGGTCAGATTTGGGGGAGGGGTTGAGTCTCGCTCTGTGATGTCTGCTGTCAGTAGTTGACTGACATCTTGGAAGGCCACACCCAAAGGCAGAGCAGGAGAAGGGGACACACAAAGGGAGTTTCGATGGAACATTCTATCCCAAAYAGGGMAAAGGGATAAGATTTCAAAAGAATAGGTGAGTGTAGCTCAACCCCAGGGATATGTGTACTCAGAAGACTGGCCTTGCTACCCGAGTTGGGGAAAAGACCCAGTCATGGCACTACCACGCGAGACTAGAGTGATCTTTAGATCTCTGTGGTACATCAGGATTGGAAGGCGTGGTAACTCAATGTGGCTCCCCAGGCTCCCCAAAGTGGGCTCAGAGCCTGTGAAAGCCCTCCAGCTCTACATCCCTCAGGTGTCACACACCCAAGTGGGGACTGCCAGGGGCTTCCTGCTTAACCCTTCCCTGCTGAGCCAGGTCCCTCTTAGTACAGGGTTGATCTCTGGAGGCAGGGAGCAGTAGGTGCCGTGTTTAGTTCCCTTTTTATAAGGCCACCATGTATCTCCATGCTCAGCAACATTTCTACCACATCCCCACTGCAATCTGATGATATGCTTCAAACATTACAGAGAAACAGGTGTTGATTCCCTACCGTTTTGGTCCTTTGTTGTGGAGGTGTGTGCTGTGTACCTCTAGTCAGTTATCTTATTTCCACCTCTTGCCCTGGTTCCTGATGAGTGGGAATGTTACTATGCTCTTCATTAAATGAGATGTTTGTTATAGGTTTATGCTTAAATTAAAACAGAAATCCTTTAAGTAAGAAATTATGGCTGGGCGTAATGGCACATACCTGTATAATCCTAGCGGCCAGGAGGCTGAGGCAGGAGGATCGCAAATTCAAAGCCAGCCTCAGCAAAAACGAGGCACTAAGCAGTTCAGTGAGACCCTGTCTCTAAATMAAATACAAATTAGGGCTGGGGATGTGGCTCAGTGGCTGAATGCCCCTGAGTTCAATCCCTGGTATCCCCCACCCCCCCACACACACAAAAGGAAAAAGTAAAAAAGAAATTTTGCTGGGCACAGWGGCACATGCCTATAATCACAGCAGATYCACACACTGAGGGCTGGGGTTGTGGCTCAGTGGTTAAGAGCCCCTGAGTTTAATCCCTGGTGTGCATACACACACACACACACACACACACACACACACACAAATTGTATGTAACTCCTATCTGGCCTTTTGTTGAATAAGAGCCACCACACTGTTTCTGTTTCCATTTGGAGTCCCCTTTCCTTATCCATATATTCTATTTTGATACCACGTGGAACTTTATTTTGAAACGGTGGTCTTGAGTTTTTGTATTCAAGTTTATTTTAAAAACCAATTTGTTTGCCAACTTTTTCTCTTGTCACTTCATTTATATCGTTTACTTATCTTTATTTTCCAATAGCCTCCAGGAATATATTAAAAGAAGTTTTCTGAGATGGGTAATTTAAACAAGAGTTTGGCATGGTCTGGCAGTGCAGGTAGGTACAAAACTGTTCTGGTTTTGAAGATCTGCTCCATTGTCTTCTTACAAGAGTATACTTGTAAAAGACTAATGTTAATCTGTTCCTMATTCCTTTGTAGGCCAATTTTAAAATCTTTCTTGAAGATTTTATATGTTCATTCCTTTATTTTTTTTGGAAATTTTGCTAAATGTGCATAATATTTAACTTTTTAAAAGCCATAAATTATTTTATTTACCAATGAAAGTAGTGTCAATTAAAAAATGGCATTTCACAGATATAAGACACATTCCAATTTCATAGATGCTAAGATGGAAAATATGTGATAGAATTAATATTTCAAATTTTACTAACTTGATAAGTAATTTGAAAGAGGGCTTCTTAACATACTTTATTCTGAGGTAATTTTCCTTGGTGATTAYTTCAAGCATTACCTCTCAATTCTATTGTCTTCTTAGGATGCTATTCAATGGATGTGGGAACTTCTATTTCTGTCTTTCATGTCAAGTTGTTTTATGAATCTTTTTATTTCATCTGGTTCCTTCTGGATTGTTAACCTTCTGGCTTCCTAATCCATATTTCTGCTGTGTGCATTTTGATTTTCAGTCCATCTGTATTGAAGCTTTTTTTTTTTTTAAAGTAAACTTTATTTTTACGTGATACACAGATACACAGGAAGTTGTAAAGATAGTTCACAGAAGTCCTGTATACACAGTTTTTGCCAATGGCTACATCTCACATTATTACAGTACAATATCAAAACACAGCATTTGACATTGATACAATGTGTGTAGATAGTTATATGCCACTTGATTACATATGTACATTCATGCAACCACCACTGCCAATCCAGATCCAAAACTATTCCATCAACACAAAGCTCTCTCTCTCACTGTACCTCTTCATGATCACACCTRTCCTCTTTCCCAATCCCTGGTAACCACTAATGTGTTCCACCTCTCTATAGTTTTGCCATTTCAGGAATGTTACATAAGTGGAATTGGCCAGTGYGTGATCTTTTGAAATTGTCTTTCAACATATGGTCTTGAGATTTAAGTAGTTGCTGTGTGTATCAACAGGACATTTCTGTTTAATGCTGAGTAATATCCAAATGTTTATATGACTTATAGTTTTTTTATTGAGACTTGTTTTGTGACCTAACATCATCTATCCTTGGAGAACATTCCACGTGTACTTGAGAAGAAAGTACATTCTATTGTTGTTGGGTGGAACATTCCACAGATGTCTGTTAGGTCTGGTTTGTAGTATTGTTCAAGTTCTCTATTTCCTTACTGGGTTTCTGTCTAGTCGTTCTATCCATTGGTAAAAGTGGAGTATTGAAGATTCCTGTTACTGTTGGGCTGTCTATTTTGCCTTCAGTTCTGCTAGTATTTGTTTCATGTACTTTGAGACTCCATTGCTAAGTGTACAGGTTTATAACTGTTATTTGTTCTCCATGGGTTGACCCTTTGATCCTTAAGTAATGTTCTTTGTCTCTAGAAATAATGATTGACTGAAGGTCTATTTTGTTTGATATTTGCATAGCTACCCCAACTCTCTTTTAGCTACTCTTTTATAAAATATCTTTTTATATCCTTTTGTTTTCAATTTGTATCTTTGGATTTAAAGAGAGTTTCTTGTAGATGGCATAGAGTTCGATCATTTTAAAAACTTGTTTTAAAACCCATTCTGCTACTTTCTTCCTTTTAATTAGAAAGCTTAATCCATTCCCATTTAATGTAATTTCTGATGAAGAACATATTTCTATCCTTTTGCTATTTTTTTTAAGAGAGAGTGAGACAGAGAGAATATTTTAATATTTATTTTTTAGCTTTTGGCGGACACAACATCTTTGTATGTGGTGCTGAGGATCGAACCCGGGCCGCACGCATGCCAGGCGAGCGCGCTACTGCTTGAGCCACATCCCCAGCCCTCCTTTTGCTATTTGTTTTCCATGCCTTACTGTTTTTGTTCCATAATTCCTCCATTATTGTGTCCTTATTGGGTTAGATGTATATTTTTCTTTTCTTTTTTTTTTTCTTTCTTGGTAYTGGGGATTGAACCCAGCAGTGCTTAACACTAAGCCACATCCCAGACCTTTTCATTTTTTACTTTGAAAAAGGATTGTACTGAGTTGCTTAGGGCCTTGCTAAGCTGTTGAAGCCAGCGATGTAGCTCAGTGGTACAGCACATGTTTACCATGTATGAGGCCTTGAGTTCAATGCCCAGCATCAAAACAAACAAACTTAAAGATTCTTTTCCAAGAGCTGAATTGTGTGTCTGTTTAGATCACTTGAACTTATCCTATTTGGGATCTGTTAAGCTGCTTGGGCAACCTATATGTCTTGTTTTTCATCAAATTTTTGGAACTTTTCAATCATTAGTTCTTCAGATATTCTTTCTGTCCCTTTTTCTGTCTGAGAAACTTCTGGATACCCTTTATCTATCCATAAAACAAATACATATGTTTGTGTCCATTCTTAGGTTTGATGATATTCAATAAGTCTCTGAAGATCTGGTTTTTTTTTTCTTTTACTTTTTTTCGTGCTTCTAAGACTAGAGAATTTCAGTTGCCCTATCTTCAATTTGCTATTTTTTTTTCTTCTCTCTGCTCAGATCTGCTGTTGAATCCCTCCAGAGAATTTTTCATTTTGGTTATTATACTTTTCAAGTCTAAACTATTCAGTTCCTTTTAAAATTTTCCATTTCTTTATCGATATTCTCTATTTGCAGAGTCATTGATCTCAATCTTCTTTAGTTTTTTATATGTGGTTTCTTTGAGCTCACTGAACATATTTAAGACAGCTGATTTTAAACTTATGTCTAGAGGCTAGGATTGTAGCTCAGTGGTAAAGCACTTCCCTAGCACATGTGAGGCACTAGGTTTGATCCTCAGCACCACATAAAAAATAAATAAAAATACAGTATTGTGTTCATGTATAACTAAAAAAAAAATTTAAAGACCTTTTGTCTAATTACTGTGTTTTCTCAGTTCCTATTGATTTTCACATATGTTTCTGGTTTGCTTGCCTGCTAACTTGTGTATGTGTGTATGTGTGTGCACGCATGCACTTAAAATTGGACATTGAATATTATCATGTGGCAACCCTAGAAATTAAGAGTCTGCCATCCTGTAAGTTTTGTTGGTGTTGCTGGTTGTACTTTAAGTGACTTTTCTGAATTAATTTTTACATTCTGTATTTTTTGTCGTGTGTGAACACTGAAGTCTCTGTTCCATTAATTCTGTGCCCAGCTAGGGCTAACTTAAGTGCCTGGAATAAAACAAAAACTCCCAAGCTAGGGCTAACTTAAGTGCTTGGAATAAAACAAAAACTCCCAGTCTTTGCAGATAGGCTGTGTGTTAGGGCACATCTTCAATCTTCAACCAGTTTACAATTCTGAATTAGCCTTTACTTTCTGCTTGTACAGAACCTGAAGGTCTGACAGAAAGGTAAGAGCTTATGGCCACCCCAATTTTTTTCCTAAATATATGCTCAGTCCTGCTTATTCATGTGGCCTTTTAAATTCCTAGGAATATTTGGGAGCTTTTAAAAGTTCTTATTCCCCAAAGTATCTTCCTCTTTATCCTTTCCTGGGCAAAGAGGACTGTTCACTGCCTGATGGAGATGAAAGGCCCTGGATTCACAACAGGCTTTTTTTTTTTTTTTTTTTTTTTCCTATCTGGCGGGACATTTGGACACTCTGTTATAGATTGCAAATGTAGAAATCTAGGCTCTTCATTTGGATTTCCATGTCAGGAGTGGTGGTAGATCCACAAATTTTTAAAAATAAAAATAACTCTTTTAAGAATATTGTGAAGAGAATGAAGCTACAACTACAGATTGGGAAATATATATATGTATATTTGCAAAACACACATCTAACTAAGGGACTAATTTCTAGAATATGTAAATAAGTTCTAAAAAAARGGTAAACAATCAATTCATACACTTAGGAAAAGGACAGGAAATGTAAGATATCACRAGATTTTTWAAAGAGGATATATAGATGGCAAAGAAGCACAAGAAGATATTAAACATCATTAGTTATTAGGCAAATGCAAATTAAAATGACAATGAAATATTACTACAGACTTATCCAGATTACCACAACAAAAACACAGTGACAAAGCCAAGGAAGGAGGATGGACAAACTATCACATGTTGCTGGTGAGGATGACCAATTGGCACTACCAATCTGGAAAACTGGTAGTTTCTTAAAAACATAAACATGCAGATACCATAATATCAAGAAATTACATCACTGGGCATCCTTCCTAGAGATATGAAAACTATGTTTACATAGAAATCTGCATATGAATATTTTATGGTAGCTTTATTTGTAATAGCCCCAAATTGGAAACAGCTCTGATGTTATTCAGTGAGTAAATGGATGAACCATGTCACATTCATACAACGGAATACTCTTCAGATGACAAGGAGCAAACAACTGATATATACAAAAACCAAGCTGCAGAATTTTTTTTTGGCTGGAGGGGTTATTGTCTCAATGCTTCCACTCTTGCTCCACTGTCCCTTCCTGTTTATTCGGCTAGAAAGTAGACTTTTCCTGAGGCTCTCCCTACCCTATCTCTGCCTATTGGCATTTCAGTATTGCTGTCAGTCTTTAGTTCCAAGACTGGGGTATAAATCCCATGGAATGCCACCATGTCATCCCTTGGGTTTTGTGTCCCCTAGCAAGTTTGTTTTCTTCTCTCAATATTTCCAATTTTGTGTTTGTTTGATGTATACTACCTAGGGGTTTGAGATGAATGTAGTGGGAGGAAGAGGGGGAACAAAAGGACATCTACTCCATCTTTCCAGCTATAAAAATCCCTTTAAGTTTTTATTTCAATATGACTGTTTGAATAATTTGTGTAATCACTTGTTAATTCTGTTGTAGAGATGTGCTATATCTCATCACACAATTTCACAGATAGTCCCAAGCAATTTAGTGAGACTCTATCTCAAAATTAAAAAAAAAATAAAAATAAAAAGGGTTAGGGATATAGCTCAGGGGTAAAGTGCCCCTGGGTTCAAGATTGGCACACTGACAGAGTTTCTGTCTGTTTTTGATATTCTAATAACCAGAGCATGCAAGTAGATAATAAATAAATAAAATGTTTATGTGTGTGTGTGTGTGTGTGTGTGTATACAGATGTATATGTGTATTTCTGAAAAAAATAGCAAATAGGCAAAGTTCAGATTTTCAGATCTAGCCAGAGGGCTAAATGGGTATCAGAATGTATTTTTCTTCTGTCTGAAAATTTTCATAATAGAATTGGGGAATAGTTATAAGTTCTACATTATTATAGGTAAATTATATCACATCTCTCCTTGATATTTCAGCAGTTATGAATCCTTAGTTCTCTTTGAGCTTTAATTTTCTGGTAGAACTTACTATGGTTTGAATTCAAACTTTCTCAYGTTCTGTGTTCTAATAGATTTTCCCAGTTAGTTTGGGCTGCTATAATGAAATACCATGGACTTAGTGTCTTATAAATATAAGTTTTGGATGCTGAAAGTATAAGCTTAGAGTGCCAGCATGTTTGGATTTTGGTGAGGGCCYTCTTCTGTGTTGCTGATTCCTCACTTGTATCTTCCTGTGGTTGAAAGAAGATGAAAGAGAACTATCTAGGTTTGGAGGATGTTCTTATCATGGAAATACTCCTATTTGTGAAGACTGTACCCTCATGACCTAATAACCACAGAGGCCCCTCCTCCAAACACCATCTGGTTGGGATTGCATATCCTATATGGATTCTAAACATTTAGTCCATAACAGATTTTTATCAAAGATGATCTGCCCAAAACATAGCAAGTGTTGAATGGTCTTTCTATGTTATTTCCTCCACTTTTATCTTTCTATTTTAAATTCACTAATAGTAATGCTGATAATAATGAAAACAATAATATCCAATAATAATTCAAAAACAGTTTGGGGCCAGACAGTTTTCACAGTATCACACGTTACAGTATACTGTATAACCATTATTGATGATGTATACACCACTAGCCACACTTTTAGGTAGGTATCATTTTACAACTGAGGCAACAAGACCTACATGTTTTGCTTGATATCACACAGGTATCAGAGTAGTGGAARGGCAATGATGATAGTATATCATTGCTAACAACACTTTTCCACAATTTTTACATCGACAGGTTTATTTTCTAGTATGAATTCCTTTAAATTCAACAAGGACTGAGAGGCATTAAAAGGTTCTTACACAATTATTAAGTTAACACATCTAAAGAAAGATTGGCACACTGACAGAGTTTCTGTCTGTTTTTGATATTCTAATAACCAGAGCATGCAAATGGAAAGGCAGTATTATATTAAGTTACATTATGGGTTTTCTGATGCTGATAAAGATGTGATCGCTGTCTAAAGGCCTTCTTACACACCTTACACTCATAGGGTTTCTCACCAGTATGAATTCGCTGATGTTCAATAAGGTGTGAATTAAGTCTAAAAGACTTTCCACATTCTTTACACCCATAAGGTTTCTCACCAGTATGAATCCTTTGATGGATTCTAAGGTCTCCCATGCGACTAAAGGCCTTGTCACATTCCTTACATTTGAAGGGTTTTTCACCTGAGTGAACTTTCAGGTGTTGAGTGTACTGACCACGCCAACTGAAGGACTTTCCACATTCTTTACATTCGTAGGGCTTTACACCTGAATGAGTTTTCAGATGTTCTTTAAGATTTCCTCTACGAATAAAATCCTTTCCACATTCTTTACATTTATAGGGCTTTTCCCCAGTATGAACTCTCTCATGTTCACTCAGGTAGAAACCAAATCTAAAGGTCTTCCCGCATTTTGCACATTTGTAGGGTTTCAGGTCAGTATGAAATTTCTTATGCAGGCTCACTTGGGAGCGCCCTCTAAATGTCTTCCCACATTCCTTACATTCGTAGGGCTTTACGCCAGAATGAATTCTCTGATGTTCAGTAAGGGCTGAACGAAGCATAAAGGCCTTCCCGCAGTCCTTACATTTATGTGGTTTCTCACCGGTATGAATTCTGTGGTGCACTCGAAGGTCACCATTATAACCAAAAGCCTTCCCACACACCTCACATTCAAAGGGTTTTACACCACTGTGAATTGTCTCATGCCGAGTAAGCTGTCCACGGACATTAAAGCTTTTCCCACAATGCTTACATTCGTGAGGTTTCTTGCCTCTATGTATTTTTTTGTGTTCTGTGAGATATAAACTGAGTCTAAAAGACTTCCCACATTCCTTACATTCATAGGGTTTTGCACGCATATGAATTTTCTGATGGCGGGTAAGCTGTCCAATTACACTAAAAGCTTTCCCACATTCCTTACATTTATAGGATTTCCCCCCAGTGTGGGTTTTCTGATGTTCTGTAAGGTAGAAATTAAGTCTGAAAAACTTTCCACAATCCTTACATTCAAAACACCTCTTACCAGTATGCTCTTTCTCATGCTCAGAAAGCTCTGAACTACTACTAAATCTTTTCTTGCATTTCTTACATCTATAGGGTTTTTCACCAGTATGATATTTCTGATGTCGACTGAATTGTGAGAAAAGAGTAAAGGTCTCACCACATTCTTGACATTCATAGGGTTTCTCACCACTGTGAAATTTCTGATGCAAAATAAGCTGATAGTGATGACCAAAGTACATCCCACACTGTTTACATTTATAGACTTTTTCACCACTATGAGTTTTCTTATGTAGATTAAGTTGGGAGACACTACTCAAAGTTTCCCCACATTCTGGACAATCATGCTTTTCCTCAGGAGTATTTTTTTCCCTTTGACCCGAGTTAGAGGCAGAACTAAGGTTTTTCCCACGTTCCCTACCTTCACTAGCGTTCCCACCACTAGATGTTCTCTGATTCGAAGATGTCTGCTTTCTCTCTGTTGGCCTTTTCTTATAAGTGCTTTTCACTTGCCTGAAATTCTTTTCTTGAGGTCCCTGTTGACCCTTAGACTGACTTTTGTTCTGCGACTCATTTCTCGAAGTGGTTCCCTTAAGTCCAACAGTTTTTCTTCTTTCTGTTGTCTCCGATTTGGACGAACTAGCTTCATCAGCATCCTTTCCTGAAGGTAATTTCTTGGTCTTGTATCTGGAGAACAATCCTAAAAGAAAAACAAAAAAAGTACACAAGAACTATTTTTCCTGTAGTCAGAAAAACATAAAAGCTTCCATCTTCAAAATAGTAGACAAAAGTGAAAATAATTCTCATTAGAAGTAAATGGCTTGAAAGCTTTACAAAAGAGTTCTGTAATTTGAAAGCAGACCATATGAGTTTGAAGWATGAAAGATAATATACAATTGTGGTGATGTGGCAAATAGTTTATATAATGGTTCTGTAATTTTTGTGTGGATCATAATCATCTGAGAAACTTATTACAAATCCTGTTATTCTGGTATCACTCCAAGCTGTAAATCAAATCTATACGAGATTTTGAATTTTTTTTTKTTTGTTTGTTTGCTTAGTACTGGGGATTGAACCCATGGGCACTTTACCACTGAGCTATCCCTTCAGACATTTTTATTTTTTATTKCAAGAAAGGGCCTCACTAAGTTACCAGGACTGGCTTTGAACTTAGGATTCTTATGCCTCAGTTTCCCAAATTGMTGGGATTACAGGCATGTGCTACCATGCTCAGCTATCTGAATTTTTAAAACTCTACTAGATGATTCTGATATAAATAAAAGTTTGAGAATCTCCATTTAACAATTTTAATAGTTTTCTCTTTCTCTCAGAATAAATTTCAAACATTTTACCATTGAATATAATAAGGCCTTTCAAAGATAACATCCTCTTCAACTCCCATATAGGACTGTGCTCCCAGATCACGCTACAATCTTTTCTTATTTCATGCAGCTTTCCACAAGCTATTTCATCTCCTAAAAATCCATCCTGGGCTCTATGAAAGGCTGACTCCTCCCTATTTTTCAATCTTAGGTCAAACATCTCAGAAAGGCTGACCCTACTGGTTGTAAGTCACATCCTTTACTCTCAATTCCAGCATCATGATAATGTTGAAAATCTACAAAAACTACACTTAATAACTTCTAATCAAACAGGAGCTGTCCGTTTAAGTGCATCACAGGAGCATTTCTAATAAAAGAAAAAAGTCAAATATCAACCAAATCTCACCATACATATTTTTTAAATTTATTTTTTAGTTTGAGGCACAATCTCTTTATTTTATCTTTATGTGGTGCTGAGGATCGAACCCAGTGYCCCATGCCTGCCAGGTGAGCGCTCCACTACTGAGCCACATCCCAGCCCTCACTGTACAGACTTAAAACTAAAAAATTGTAAATGTAGACTACATTATGGAGTGAAATGATGTAAAACTGTACACACTCTTACATGTGTTTCTCTGATTCCTTAAAACCCATTAAAAAGAAATAAAATTTCTATTTCCTTTATTTTTGATAAAGAAAAAAATGCATGCTCCTAACAATATGACCTCTGCCCATTGAACTGCATCTAATTGCCAGTTTGCTAAATGGAGTAAGATCCTCTTCTGGACTTTGGCCCCCAAGACCCTGTATTCCTGATTTTACTTTTCTTTCTCTCCTTCTCTCCTTCTTTATCACTTTTGTCACTGTACCTCTTTCAGATTTTTCCCAAGAGCATTCAGTGTCCACATTACCATCCTGACTTTCATTTAAGTATATGATCAGTCATTCTTTCAATTATTCATAAAGGTTACATGTTCTGATTCCCATTTTTTAATAATTATATATTTTTAGTTGTAGTTGGACACAATACCTTTATTTTATTTATTTATTTTATGTGATGCTGAGGATCGAACCCAGGGCCTCGTACATGCTAGGCGAGCGCTCTACCGCTAAGCCACAACCTCAGCCCCCAGATTCCCATTTTTGACTGAAATCTTGATTTAAAAGTTTAAACTCTTCTTCCTTTAAAAAAATCCATATGTACTGGCCAAAAAGGAGCATTAAATAAACATGTGTTGAAGGCATACTCATTTGTTAAGAGTAAAGATTCTTCCCAGGTACAATGGGGCACAATGTAATTCCAKCAATTCAGGAGGCAGCCTCAGCAACTTAGTGAGGCCCTAAGAAACTCAGTGAAACTCTGTCTCAAAACGAAAAAATAAAAAAGGGCTGGGGATGTTGCTCAGTGGTGAAGTGCCTCTGGATTCAATCCCCCGAGCACAAAGAAAGAGTAAAGATTCTTGAGGCATACTGAGTCTGAATTCCATCTCTATTACTTTACCTTATGTAAGGTATATCACTTCTATGTGTTCCTGTTTCTTTATTCTATAAAATAACAATATAATAATACTTTTTTTGTGTGTGTGTGATGGGGATTGAACRCAGGAGTACTACCACTGAGCTACCCTACTACTTCAAAATTTTTTATTCTGAGACAGGGTCTTACTAAGTTGCCAAGGCTGGYCTCAAACTTGTGATCCTTTTGCCTTAACCTCTCAATTAATTGGAATTGCTAGCCTGTGTCACCGTTTCTGTAATCTCTGGAATTATAGTGGGTAACAACCCTACTTAGTTCATAGTACTTTTCTTATAGCCTTTATGAGGACTGCCTGAGCTATGTAGATTAAGTGCTCTGTTAACTATTATTACTTTTCATTGGTGGTCCTCAGAACACAAAAGGTACACAAGCCATTGAAGTGTGGGTAAACTGAATACCAATATTGTTGGGATCAACCCAGCTCCAAAGACTAACTTTCCCATCCCCCAAGAAGAGCTGTCCAATGGTGAGCCCTGCTGGCTCACATGATCCTTACCCACCAATCAGACTAGCCCTGCTGGCTCACATGATC